AATTTTGTTTGTCTTGTTTTGACTTTATTTTACCAAATGAAGAGAATGTTCACAATCTACACGTTATAAAGGATAATATCACCAATGATTTGTTACTTCATCCTTCTAAACTGATAGCTCCAACTGAAAAGAATAAGAAGGAAGCGCAGTTTTGGTTTTCTGATGAAAGCAGACATTTCATAGTGAAAAACATCATTAATCAAAATGCTGAAAGTGTCTTATGCATTGGAGTTCCAACAGTTTTTGAATTGATAAGAAACAAAAAAATAAATACCTTATTGTTGGACTTTGACTACAGATATTACTGGTTCTACAATACTAAAGAGTTTATTAGATTTAACATGTTTAATTATCATTTTTTTGGAAATGTAAAATTATCTAAAATGTTAGTACTTAAGAGTCTACAGTTTTCAAACATCATTGCTGTAATCGATCCTCCGTTTGGTGCACGTATTGAACCTCTTGCTAAAACTATAGAAAATTTTCAAAATTTAACAGCAAGCAGAATTCAGATTATTCTTATTCTACCATATTTTATGGAGCCTAAAGTTCTTTCAAGTTTCCCTGATTTTAAAATGCTTGATTACCCAATAGATTATTTGAATCATAAGAAATTCAAAAATAAGCAAAGGAATTCATCCAAGAAACCTAGTCCAGTTCGTATTTTTACTAACATACCTCCAAAAAATTTCAAATTTCCTAAAGAAGATTACTATTTTTGTGAAATTTGTGAAGCATGGAGAAGTGATAAGAACATCCATTGTTCCTTTTGTAATACTTGTCCATCTAAGAATGGAGACGTGTATAACCATTGCTTTATTTGTAAAATGTGTTTCAAGCAAACTTGGATACATTGTAATAAGTGTAAAAGATGTTGTTTATCTGAACATGCATGTGAAGAAACTGAAAGGACTTCATTTAATAAAAAAAAACGAAGAAACTAAAAGGTGAATGGGAAATGTTATTTTTATATTTATTTTTACAATTTTCAAATAAAGTCGTCTAAAATTTGTTTATAATTCATGTGTTGAACCCTTTTCTCTTAAAGGTTGACCTATGAATTTTATAATAATGTCTGGTTGTTAAAGATATGGTACTACTAATGGCACTCCATAATGGGAGGTGGGCCCAGATTACATTATTCACATTGTAGACACTATCGTATTACTGTTCTCAATGATCACACCATAAGTGAAATCCTATGAATGTCCAAGTGTGTCTGAAATTTGATAGAAATGACTGAACAGTCTATAGTGTGAACACAGGATCTTGGCCAACTCAGCAAGGTGGAGTGACATTTGTACAGCTGTACTGACACAATTCAAAAAATGATAAGAGTCTGTCTGATTTTGGGAATTTGTTTATCCCTTTTGATTAAGTGTATTCATTGTCCCTTTTTTGTTATTTGCCCATCCAAGAAATGGGATGTATATCACCGTCACTTTGTTTATACAAAGTGTTCAAAGCGAACTTGGATGCTTCTACTTCTCATTCCATTATCATTTCAGTTCTTCTCTTTCTTCTGCCTTTTATTTCCTTTCCCATTATCAATTTCAGTATTTGACTTACCTGTTTTGGTATTCAATTTGAATCCACCTGCTTTAAGCGGTAATATTTTAATATTTTTTTCTCTCACTACTAAGGGTTTTTATTTTCTAAATTTTTCACTGAATGCTCCATCCTAGAAATCCTAATAGACTTCTTCCAGAAATCCATCTCTTTGGTTGTCTTTTTTTCTGTACTCCATTGAGGGTTCAAGTCTAAAGCCTCACTGCATTATACTTTTAACATACGCATTATATATTAACTTATTAGTATTCCCCAGGGTATTATTGTTCCAGATAAAATAATTCAGCATGCTAATAACCTTTCTACAATTTCTGATTCTTTTATTTCCCTGAGTATTGGTGTTCCCATCACTTTCCAATATTTATCAATAATGTTTCCCTCTGTTAAGATTCGCAATGACTGAGAGTCCAGATAACCGTGTCTCATAAAATAGTCTGTATATGTGAACAGCATAGCTCAAAAACGATAAGATGTACGGCACTGAAATTGAGTATTTGTGGTAGGTACATGACTGGGATGTTATAGTAACTTTTTTGCTAAAACTGACTTATCAATAGTGACACTTCATGATTAGTTTTGCACATTTTTACAACTTTTTTCAAAAAGGGCTCTAACGATTTTGACCGAACTCACATCGATGTAAAATTAAATGATCTTGAATATCAGTCTGGTTTTCCACATTGCAATAGTCTGGCAGGGCTTAAATGCCGAGTTTTCAAAAATTCTTCCTCAAAGAACCTTTAATTCTATTTATTACAAAAGTTAAAGGTCTCTGATTGTTAGAAACGATCCGAAATTAGTAAATATCTGCTATATAATAATTTGATAATTAACTAAAGGAGAAAATGGGAAAAATATTTTTGCATGTAGAAAACAAATTTCTAAAAATAAGAGTATTAATATTGATGTATAACATACCATTGAAAATGTCAAGATTTTGAAAACTTAATAGGGTAGAATGGTAACAAACAAATGACTTTTAATTACCTACTGTTATATTACTAAACAGAATTTCCGTGGAAAATATGTTTAAGGTAAATGTACCTGTGATAGGCACTTAAAGAGATATTTTAAACATTAATGTGAACCACAGCTTCAATCTGATGGTTCATCTTTGCAAATGGATTTAATGGTCAGTAAATTTAATTTTTTATATAATTTTGTTTTCTACATAGTCAATAAGTTAATTATAAAACATTAAGAAATTCAGAGAGTGAATATTTTACTAGTAATAGACACTCAGTTTCGGGGTCAACAGGTTTTTTTTTTTTATATAACAAAAAATAAATATTGGCCAGTTTTAAACTAAGAAACAAAAAAGTGCAGATGAATGAATCAAGATTTCAAACTTATCTCCTAAATTTAAGAGGGGCTGCTTTCCGGCTGAAGACCCCCAAAAATGGTGAAATATAACCATATTTTATGAACAAATTATCTTTAAAAGTTTTATTGTTTCTAATTACAGTTAATAGGTTAAAAGTTTCGTCTAATTACAGTTAATAGGACTTAAAGACCATTTCATATAGGTGGTTAGTTTCTTTCTTTTGAGCTGAAGCCTCCTCTCCCCAAAAAAAAATTAAATCCTGAATGTAAAGTGAATGTAATTAATAAGGAAACCTCTCTGAAACAAACCCCAGCCTTATTTCATTCAAAAATCCCTTGCCAATCAGCTGTTGTAGCATATCACTTGGTATTCATGTTTCACTCTCCCAAGTATTCTAGCTACCATCTTACTTATATTTGCACTACTTCAAGGGTATGTAAAGGTTATTAGTGTAATTACTAAATTAAGTATTTAATTCTATTGCAGCAACCATAACTAGAATCTTTGAAGGATCTTTATTTGATAAAATAATGTTTCTTGAGCTGCAATTGTAAAATGTAATGAGTATTAAAAACTAGTGCTCTTCCAAACTTCACTTTATCCATTTTACATTCATGGCTAGTTGTACAGAAAATAAATTTATAAAGAATTATAAATTATAGAGACTTGTCATTGGTAAAAATTCTGATCTTCAATGAATATGAATGGTCTAATATTAACTAAAAAAGAAAATGATTTTTTAATTTAATAGTCTGACTCAATATTGTGCTTGAGAATAATAAGGAGGTCACACTGACGAACCAGTCTTGATGTTATTTTAGTTTCCATTCATCTCAGTTCTAATTTTACAGAACAATCATTGTTTTCTTTGATACATGTTATTGTTTCAATAGAACAGATAAAGGTAAATATAAAAAGAACAAGAAGAAACATTACGCCTGTTCTCGATAAGCTTAAAGCCAGAAAAAATATTCATATTTTTACAAGAGCTTGAGAATTAGAATTTTAAAGATAATATTAAAAACAATATATTCATGATCCCTAGCTTTTTTTTTAATTGTTCTTTCCACACATACTATTTGAAAATAATATCTAAAGTAGAACTTTTACAATTGATACTATTAGAATTTATAATTGGTCATTTTATTTTCTGTTTTAGGTGGAACTAATTTAAAATTGTCAGTGATCATAAAATTTTGAAAATTACATTTATTCCACCTGCTCTTATTTTAGTGCAAGGTTTAAGCTGAAAATAGTATACAAGAATATTTCAAATAACTCCACACTCTGAAATCCTCATGTTTACAAGAAATGCAGTTTTAACTTTATATAAGATTTTAATTGGACTATACTAATCTAACAAATAACAACAAAATAATAACTTCCTTCTATTTTCTATAAAAAATTGTAGCAGCATATATGTATCAGATATCCACATCAGGACAAGATAAGGATTTCATGAACAAATATTATTAACATTCGATAAGATTGAAGATATCACTCTGCACTTTAACAACTATTAAGTCATGTGGATAGATAAATTAATAGTTATGGCACTAAAGAGATTAAGAAACCTGTGATTAGGAATATTATTGTAATGTTATGAAAATCTAATGTCTTATTATTTGCTAACAAGAATTTACATTCTAAGGTTTTCTGTAAGGCAAATATTAAAAGACAAATTATATTATTATTGACAATTTTACTTTCTTTGAATTAATTTTTTTTTTCAACTTAATATTTTGAAGGGTTATGGGAAGAAGCTGGTTTCACTTTTTTGTTTTTTTAAGTTAACTTATCAGATTAAATGAATTTAATGTAAATTGCTAGGGAGTTGGTACATGTCAAAATAAATTCAATTAGTATAATATTTTTATTTTTTTTTTTCACATTCTAGCCTAGCTCCTTGGAAAAACTTCATCATGAATCCATGTAATTCAATTTAAAAAAATTCACATTTTTTTTCCTCTGACTCTTTATTTATTTGATAAAGAAATTTATGAGTTTTGCTATGGAAAAACCTTTATACTTATATACATGCATATATTATCTGATTATATAAACTAACTATGAATTTTTCAGGATAACGTTGATATAACATATATAAATATAATTTAATCAAAATATATTCCTTAGCTTCAGAATATGATTTTTTGTAGATTAACATGTTTCTCAGTGCTTCATTGGTGCTCTGAATTTGAAAGGAATTAAATTCCTAGAAGTCATTTTTATCTCACAAAAATTAATCAATCATTCTTTTTTTAAAAATGCTAATTTTTGATTAGTGGTGATTGATCTTTTGCATTTTATTTATGTTCTCTCTGAAACTAATACTTCATATAATAAAATCTTATGCAATAGAAATAGACCTGTTGCAATATGTAAAATGGTTTTGTGTTTAGGTTTTTGGTTTCCATAAAGAGAAATTGACATGTCTGAAAAGATTAATGAATCAAACCTGACAGAGAAGAAAAAAATGACAGACCAAGAACGAATTGAACTTGCCACTAAACTGGATAAAGAATTAGATGATTTCATTTCAGGATTAGAAAAAAAAGCTGACAAATGGAAAGAAGGTGCTGATTGGCATAAGGTATGGAGTCTTTTGTGATATATTTTAGAAGGATTTTCAATTTACACTCATATTGTGTTTTCATTGTAGGAAATGGAAAATCATCCATTTTTTATGAAAACATTACCAGATGGTGGTGAAGTTTCTCCTCTTGTTGAAGGTTTACAGCAATTGAAGTATAGCAAAGAAGAAAATTCACCAGAAGGTTTATTGAATATTTTACTTCAACATAAATTTTTATTGTTGAACTTTAATTAATTTCCTGTTTGTTTCTTCCATTTCTGTAGAACTTGCAGTTTCTTACAAAGAAGATGGTAATTTCAATTTCAAATGCAAGAATTACAGAATGGCAATCATAAGTTATACAGAGGGTCTTAGTCAGAAGCCATCTAATCCGGAATTGCAGGCTCAGTTGTTGAATAATCGTGCTGCAGCCCATTGGGAGTTGAAAAATTTTCGGTGAGAATATTTTACTTATTTTTATTTGCTCAGCATTGATTGAATGTTAACACATTTTTGTTATTATTTAATAGTTCTTTTTTTATTGTTAAATAATTGTTTTTATATTTGTGTATTATTTTCTTATGATATAAGCTAATTTTTACGTAATAATTTTTTATTTGTAGATCATGTTATAATGACTGTAAAGCTGCCCTTAAAGCTTCACCAATCTATGTGAAGGCTGAGAAAAGACTTGCTCAAGTGTGTTTTGAATTGCATCTTTTTGATGAATGTGTTGATTTGTGTGATAAATTACTTAAAGGTGCTGTTGATAATAAGTTATCTTCATTGAGATTAAGGGCTTCGAAACAAAAGGTATTTCTAAATAAATAATTTTAAATAGGCATAAGTTTTTAAGACTCTGCTACAAAGCATAGAGAGCCTACTTTATTGTAAAATGGAGTGAGTAGCTATGAATTCTTATTATGTATTATTAAAAAAAAAATTACTTCCTCAAAAATGAAAGCATGTTAAATTTATTTCTTGATTATAATTTACTGTATTCATATTCTATTAGATGGTTCATTCTTCAGTGTAATTTTATTTTTTAGAATGTTAGAGATAGAAATCTACGTAAAGAGGAAGTCAAAAAAAAAAAAGAAGAAATAAAAAAAGCAACTTTGAAGAAAATGATTGAAGAAAGAGGCATTAAGTTTTTTGATAAGTGTATGTATACTTAATCTTAGTCAAATACTAATTGGAAAGTTTGTTATTATATTAGATAAATTTATTGCACTGTGTTTAACATATTAGAAAGTGATGCATATTATATTATGAGGAAATAAGTACAGTATGGTGTCCAGTGACCTGCATGTCTGGGTATTTTTCGATATTTCCTCTTATTTTCCTTTAAACCTAAAGATTTCTAGTTTCATTGCAATAAGTTTAATTTGGCTTCGTTATTAGATTGATTTCCCAGCATATTACATACCCATATTATTTTATGCAAATATAAATTTTAAAATATTTCTTTATTTATAGCTTGTTGGGAACTTCATGAAACAGTTCTTGGCCAAACAGTTCAAATAGATGGTGATCATCTTGTTTGGCCAGTAATTATTTTATATCCAGAATATAAAACATCAGATGTCATAGAAAACTTCCATGAAAAGAATACGTTAGTAAATCAAATTCATTATTAGAAATTTTATTTAGTTGTGTACAGATAACTGTGTAAAGATGTATATATTTATTTATTATATTATATTATAGATTTCAGGAACAGTTAGACGTAATATTTGAGCAGCCTCCAGATTGGGATGCTGAAAGTAAATATACGCCAACATCTATCGTGGTTCACTATGAAGATGTTGATGGAAAAATACATGTAGTAAACAAGAATTCTACATTGGGTTCGGTATTGAAAGAGCCACAGTAAGCATTGAATTTGGTTTTTATCTAAAATTAATTTAGAAGTAAGTAAAAATGTGGGTACTTGTCAGTTTGCTGGACAGAACTGACTGCTATCTGCCAATGTTTATAACCTAAACACTGATAATTCTGATAAGGCTTCTCATAATTCCTATCTTCGTATTCATATTTATTGTATTATATTCATATTATTGAAATTGCAAACAAAAACAAATGTAATAATAAAACATCCCAGCGTTTTGAAAATATTCAATAGCCTCTTCTTCTGAAGACGGTAATTCCCAGAATGTAATAACATCCATAATTTGACGAAAATAACAGAAATGGAACAAAATAAGCTATGGAATAACTCAAGCTTTCCTAAGAGACAAGTACCCAAATGGGTAATTTCAGGTAAATGAATGTCTATCAAAAATTAATCTGAGATATGTACATGAAAATAAATAAAATGTACATAACATGACCTTCCTTTCAATGTATGTAATGGTGTTTGATATTTATTAACAAAATGTTATTCCTAAGCTACATTCTTAAGGAATGTTGTTTTATTACAAAAGTGTTTCAGATGTTTCTCTGAATATTTCAGGTGCTTTTTGTATTTATTAGTTACACATCCATTTTCTGGAACCTTGGAAATCTTGATTGATTACAATATGTTAATTCAATTTTAAAACTAAAGTCAGTTATTAAAAAAGGAGTTTTTACACTTCAAAAATTTATTCTTCCATAAAATATTTTTTCAAAATAAAATTATGTTATAATAGTTTAGGCTACACCCTAGTATTAATATACTTAGTTGAATATTCTGTGATTAGTTTCAGGGTTGATGGGAACACACCTTCATTTATTGTACATGCCAAGGAGACAGAAGCATATAAAAAATTTCTGAACCATTATAACTAATAACTTTTTATGTTAAATGCAATAATTTCCAACAAAAATAAATTTACATTTAATTACAGAGTTGTTTCATTGAATTTTATCAGCAATTTCCTATATTATCAATTCTTTTCTCAGATTAAGGTACATTTTTGAATAGTTTTGTGACTGGCTGAGGAGTATTTGACTTGCATTACATAAAATAAGAAGTGATTTTCACAGGAATATACAAATAAATAATAATAATGTAATTTATTTAAGAAAATATTTCAATGGTAACGAATTCACTATTTTGGTGAAAAATATACATTTTAATGGTATAAAAAAGCTGATATTCCCTTTGTACCATAGTCATTGGCAAACAGCAGAACATGCTCCTTTGAGCATGAATAATTAAAAAAAAAAAAGTTCTCCAAAATTAAATTTCATATAATTTTATAGTTCTTATTTTTAGTCATATATAGAATTCAAATGTATTGTATTCCCCAAATTCATTATCTATCTTATTGTTGATGAAATGAATATAAGGTCGTTTAGTTAATATATATTTTATGGGATAAGATATTGTATCGTTACTATTGACTTTCAATCCATTTGTAAAAAATAAAGTTTTGTAAAAAAAACACCAGGTGACCATTGAAGTTTATATAGAAGAGCGTGAAACGTAAAGGTGGGGATGTGACGTCACATCATTTCCTCGGCTCAGTGCGCGCTCTGATGCTGAAGGTGTTTTGTACCTTTTCACTTCAGCTCTCGCGTTCGTCTTCAATTTATTTGTATACGTAAATATTTTTGAGGATACTAAAAACAAGTGTTGACATTTCTCCTGTTCTCTAGTTTAATTGCTTCCAAACGGCAATTAATCCAAATTTAGTTATGTAAATAACGTACATTGAGGAATAATAGAGATTGAGTTGGTGTTTGACAGTGACATTGTCCTCATCGGTCGAACTCAATTTCTACTTGGCCCGGTGGTCTCTAATTTACGGTCCGGTAGGCCCTTTGTCCCGGCGAAGGCCATTGTTGGATGGAGGGCCGAGTTCGGATCCGGGAGCCGGCGGATCGTCCGGTGTCCCTCTACGACAACCTGCCCCAGGATCCTAGGCCATCCCAGGCTTCTGCTATGGTGACCACCGTACCCCAGAACATCGCGGCGCCCAAGATAGAAGGCCGACACGCACCTACTAGGAACTCTCTTCGCCACTCCAGGATGATAGTGATGACCAAACAAGGAAAAGGTATGTTATTTAAATTTGTCACTTGAACCATAGGATAGCCAATTTCTCATAAGGCTCTGATTGTTATTGGTTTTTAAAAAAGCTTTCTATATTTTTCTATATAATTCTTCAGTAAGTATAATTATTTATTCCGTTATATCAACCGTAGATCATGGCTTAGAAATATTGACAGAAATTGGTACTCGTTTTTATAGTGATCTATATTCATTTAAAAGTTCATATCTCATATTACTTAATAATGAAAGAGCGGAATTGTTATGATTTTTATTTTACCTTGGTCTTTCACTGCTGTGTTCTGTATATGTAGATTCCATGAGGTTTGTCAGCTAATTAATAAAAATTTAAAGTAATTTCGTCTTGTTTTAAGCCTAGTTAAACTATGTTTTGTTTTAAAGAATGCATTAATTTTATGGTCTTCCAATTATATAATAACAAGCTCATTTACTATTCTATTTGATTAGCTGGGAATAAGCCAGTGTTTGTATTGTTTGTGAAGAATAAACATAACAAATGATTATCATCTCTATCAGTGATATTTGTTTTTCTGACTGGTATCCTACTGTTTACTCAACTACAAAAAAAATATTAATTACGAATTTCGCCTAACATGGCTTCATAGTAAATATGTGTTTAATACAGGGGTTTTCATAGCGCTAATTGTGCCATCATATTTTTGAGGGGATAACATTTTGACAGGGTTTTGAATTTTTGAGGGGGGCAACTTTTTAACAAAGTTATGATTTATTTTTAAATTATATTTTTGCTTGCACTGTTTTTAGAAGAAAAAAAAAAGAGAATAATCTTTTTATTGCTCTATACAAAAACCATGGAAAAAGCAAGCATTGTCAAAAAAAAAAAAAAAAATTAATAAGAGAACGAAATTCAAAGTTGTACATAGATTTTTAGATATTCCAATGTTTTATTTTTTGTTTTTTTTTAAAATTATATTTCGAACTAATTTTTATCTTCATCTATTCTATCCAGGCAAAAAATAATCACTTTCATAAACTTCTTCAAAGTTAATCAATATAGCTCCTAATCAATATAATTTTATTGGAAACATAATGAAACAAGTAAAAATAATGCAATAAAAACACGTCAAATATAATATAAAAAAAGCAATATAACTTTCTTTGTCATATGCTTAATGCCTATCTCATTTCTTAACCATTATGTTCTTTAATATTAATCCTTAAATTAAAATTTATATCAGATCTTTTGGGAAAATCGAATAAGCCTTTTTTGAAATATAGGACTAGAGAGGAAAATATGTTTGCGTATCCATTAGCGAAAATAGGGGATGGAATTTAATTAAATTGACACTAGTTCATTTGCTCACTAATCTTTAACTTCTCTCTAATCTTGAGCTACTCAAACTAGTCATTTCTTATACATTATATATGAATATTACAATTTTAATAGTTTGTTCGTCGGGAAGCGGTAGTATTTCATGGCATTCGATGACAAAATTGAATATGGGACCTTCTAGGCATATATACGTATGTACCAAATCCACCAAATAAAATGAGAGTTTTATTTTCGATTCTGTGTATATAATTTTTTTAACCTCCAGTAAAAATACAAAGTCTTCGGTAGAGAGAAAGAAAAAACAACGTATATTCCCTGTTTTTCATCCATTGAATTCATATATTAGATGTAATACGTCATTGTTAATAAAATGCAGGATTAAATGATTAGTAGAAGCATGATGATGTAATTTTTATGTACAAGTAGATGCAGATATTTATAATTTCTATTAATTCAAATATGTGTTTATTTTTCGCCGCTTCGTCTGTTCGATGAAGGTTTGATTTTTTTTTATAGATATTTAAGCTATCCCTTTTTAAAAGGGATCCAAAGCCTTTCATGAAGAAATTCATTTCCCCTTCCCTCTACCCTTCAGTTCACGTTTTATAAAGAATGGTTCTTTCACTTTATTCAAATTACTTATCGCCTAACAACATTTTGCCGTCCATTCTGAGGGACTGACATAACCAACCAAGCTGGATAATGCAACTTAATAAGTCTTAGTTGTAAATTAATTAAACATAATCATGTTAGGCTAACAGGATATGTATATATTTATTTATTCCATTAAATACTTTCCCAATATATGACAGTTGACTTTTACTAGTATAAAAAAAAGTTTAACCTCTTAGTAAAGGTATTCATATTTCTAAATTGCCATTTTATTATTTTCCAACCCCTTTATAAATTTCTGGAATAACGATGACTAGTCTTTTTAAAAATAAATAGCAATTTAAAATATTTGATCCAAAAATAAAATATGAATATTATTGTACTTGTCGGAAGGATTCGAGATATATCTCAGTACTGAATTTTAGGTAGATTCAAACAGGAGTGCCAATCCTTCCAAGGTCGATGGCACATAAACCTCCAACCCCTTCCAAGAAATTTCATTGATCTGTTATTATAAATATTGCCGTCAAAAGTAGAAACATTGTTGATCTTATACCATTACACGCGCTGTGGTCTGTTCTATGGTTGTTTCTGGTCCCCTGGTTTGAAACTTCATTCCGAAAATTCATAAACTTCATGGAAATGTGCCCTCCTTTAAGAATTAAAAATCATGTCAAATGTGACCCTCGGAAATTGTGATGCCGCAACTTGTATGCAACCATACAACCCTCTTCTGGTCATCCCTGGATTAAAATGAACTTCTAAATTAAGCTGTTTTGATTGCCATTTGATTATCACGGTCTTTATTCATTAAATTGTTGGTTAAAAATAGATTTTGAATTAATTCAATTGCATTATTTAGTTTTCTGTTGATCAGTTTTATGTTTTCTTTTGAATCCTTAGAACCAAATAATCCTACTTTTATATCTAATTCTCTGAAATTTAACTACCTCATTAGTTTCTAAAATAGATACATTTTTACTTTATTTTTTATTATGCTTTCGTATTAAATCATTATTAAAATAGAAAAATAAATCGATGTACATTATGTGATGTAGAACATGATGCATTATACATACTATTTTGGGGTGATAAATATTCAGGACGCAGTCATTGTAAAGTTTTTATTGGTGCCGATGTTTCAACCCAAACACGTGGGTCATCATCAAGAGTACTTAAATACCTTCAGTGATCGAAGCACGCCCTGATGATGACCCACATGTTTGGGTTGAAACGTTGGCACCAATAAAAACTTTATAATCTGAATAATTATCACCCATGATATGTAGAACAGTTGACTAACTTCCTTCCATACTTTTGCTTCCTCACTACCGAAGGTAGAGAAGCATTGTGTTCGTGCGAGATGTTAAAAAAAATTTTGTGTTTAGAATCAATAGATCATATGTTCCTACCACAGACCTAAGGAGGATTTCTTTTCACTAAATTATTTAGTTATTTATTTTAAAATTTTGTGTGAGCTCCTTCATCGTAAGTATTGACATTTATGTTAGATACGTTCTTGAAGATTTATGTTGATGTGGGCACTTAAAAGAGATTTAATAAATAAAAAATTGAAAAACTGTATTAGCGGGACAATATATTTATATCCAATAATAAATAACATTCATTTCCATAAATGTTAAATCCATAAAAGAAACAGCTACGTCGATATAAAATATTGTTTGAACTATTTGAGAAATATAGGGGACCGAGTGAAAGAAATGTTTATCTCATTTAATTTGATAATATTAGTTTAAAATATAATAAAAATGTGCGGCCATCATTGTAAATTTTATATATTTTTTAATTTAAAATATAAAATGAAAAGGAAATATGAAGGTAATTTTGTTTTTATCGATACAGCTG